TGTACAGTATTTGAAAAATAATGTGTTTTTTGAACATTAAAGCATGTCAACATATTCTGTTACACCAAATACACAAAATAATGATCTTTAAAAAAGCATCATATGACCCCTTTAATAACATTTTTTTTAAAAAGCTGAATATTCAGCAGCCATTACTCCAGTCTTTAGTAGTCAGGCTTCCATTACAGATTTGTGCAAAACTTTTGCGATATTTTATAAATGTCGATAAAAACCTATTGCGAATTTCCATTAACCCATGTTAAGTGACTAAAACTTAATTTTTTCCTCTAGTGGTAAATCATGGTGATGGATGTTCGTAGGTTTACGTTTATTGCAGCCACCGCACTAGCTATTATTTTTAATCAAAGTAGACATAGGCATGGATCTTTAGCGAAGCAGTGCGGAGAGCTGCTTCTGGAACGCTTCTGAAACATGCCGCAGCGCAGCTGGTATAAACACAAGCATTGACTAGAGTGGCCAGTGGCTGTATCAGAGCCATAACGCAGTGTAAAAAAGGGGTTATCCAAGCATTAATGGCAAGGAAAGGGCTTTATACTTGAGAGCGGCCACGTACGAGGTGTTTCTTGGAGGTTATAGTACATTAAAGAATGATCATGTGACTTTTACATATGGCAGGTGACCTGTAAATGTGAAAAAAATGTTTCCATTGCAGTTTTGCAATTTATATTCATTCTTCGAATTGCCTTTTTTTGTGATATATAGGAGTTTTTGCAAATTTGACGTGTTTCCATTAGACGAATTTTCAATCCATTAGACGAATTTTCGCAGTGTCACATGATCATTCAGAAATCATTCTGCTCAAGAAACATTTCTTATCAATGCTGAAAACAGCTGTTGCTTAATATTTTAAGCAGCAGGAACTGTGATTAAGTAGAAGTGGAAACTGATCATTTTTTCAGGAGTCTTCAACGAATATAAAGTTCAAAGGAACAGCATTTATTTGAAAAAACTTTTTGTGACATTGCAAAAGCCTACTGTCACTTTTGATCAACTTACATGCTTGCTAAATAAAGGGATTAATTTCTTTAAAAAAAAATTATAAAAGTTTACTGAATTGAATGGTAATGTAAATGTATAAAATCCAGTATGTGAAAGATGTCTATTGCAAAATAGTTAAATGCTATTTCATTTATAAATGTTTGGGAAGTTTTCCCAGCGACATTCACATCTCTTTTTTTCCTTCAGGAGAAGAATCTGGACTGGTTTCCACGGATGAGGGCCATGTCTTTGGTAAGCTCTGAGGGAGAGAGCGAACAGAACGAGATCCGATCGCTGCAGGAGAGGCTGGACACCACCGTCGGTCTCGTGGCTCAGCTGTCTTCCCAGCTGTCTGAGCTTAAAGAGCAGGTAACATACAGCACGCCGTCCAATGGGACAGCCTGGTTTCACAGAGCAAAACAGTGTTTTTCTTCACGGGGCCTCTGAAGTGTTTACTATTAGGCCCTGCTGTGGAAGTGCGTCAGAGCAGGGGTGGGGTGGTGCCCCGGGGCCATATGGATGTTCCGGCTGTGCTCCGCTGTGTCGGATCACGGCCATCACCTGCCTGGCCCACATGTGATTCCACACAAACAGTTTAACCGATTCACATGACACAGGGAGAGGGAGAGCTTTGGGTTCTAATGGGATGACGCTGGAAAGAAATTGCTGCCCCATGGCTCATTTTTTTTAAGTTCCTCACTAAGGTCTGCATGTTTGTTTGACCTTAGACTTCAGATGTGAACTGTACTCACACGTAAACACACAGAAACTGCACAGTCATTGGGAATCGGCACTGATCCAAACCAGTGAGCCTGAAACAGTGGAACCAGAACTGTTAAACCACACCGTGGTGCCGCTCACATCCTCCAGCGGTCCTTCTGATTCCTGCCGGTCACGAGGAGCGGGCTTACTGTAATTCTCCTGGCAATGCTGGATGTTAAATAACTTATTAAAGTGATTTCTTCTCCGACAGCCAGGCCTAATTAAACAGATCCTCCTCACCTCTCAGCTCGAGCCAGGCTGATATCCAGCTCAGATGCAGTAGGTGAAATCCGAACTTGTCATGTGTTCAGACAAACAGGCTCTCTCTGATTCAGTGTGTTCCACCTCCGTTTTCTTGCTAGGGCTGTTTACTTGGAAGTTCCTTCTCTTTGTCTGGAACGGCCACGAAGTCAATGTCGGTTGAAACCCCAGTGTGTTTGGGAAAGTAAAAAGGGACCCATGGAATGAGAGGTTGTTTTGATATTGGTGCAAAAGACACTAATTTGTAAAGGAACAATTCAGGCAAAAATGAAAATCGTCATTGTCATGTCCTATCCTTTTAAACAGACTTCACGTCGAGAGTGTAGAAATGACACTCTAAAATGGTGATTATGGAGGCAACTTGATAAGTTTTGAAACAGAATAATTGTGTCTGTGCTGTCACATTAGCAAAATTTCACAGTGAAAAAAAGTCCATTGTCTATTGTCAGTAGAGTAGCTCAGAAGTCACTTTCGAACCAAGCAGCTTTCTGATGGTCAATACAGAAAATTATTGAAAATGACTTGAATTGAACTTGACTTGACTTTAAATGAAATTAATTAAATTTGCATGAGAAACTTTTTCAAACTGACTAGATATTGCCCACATAATTTCACTGCACAACCATAAATGTAAATGCGTCTTCAGAAAGTACACTATTAGAAGATCAGTGAAATTTACAGTAAAAAAAAAAAGTAGCAGCTTTGGTTACTAGAACTTTACTGTTAAAAAGGTAGCATTTACAGATTGATTTACAGTTGATTTACTGTTAAAATCCTACATTTACAGTTAAAACATTTAAAATATACTGATATACTCCTTACAAACAGGTGGTGGAGGAAAAGCCACATGATTCAATCAATCTATTTTTACTCAGAAATTACATTAAGGATCATTTTTTAATTCTTTTTTTTTTTTTCAAATATAAAATTGGAAGATTGTGTGTATAATTTTTTTAATAATTTTAATAATTTAATTATTTTAACTTTTTTTTTTTTGGTTTGGAAAAATAATATTGTTAAATTATTGTATACGGCTCAGTGAATTATTATTGTTAATACTATTTTAAATCTTGTTACATTTGGGATTGCTATGAATATAGCCTTTCATGCTGATATGATGTACAATAAAAAATAAAATAAAATATATAATATGCGGTGCATGGTGTCATACAACCAAATATAAAACACTGTCATGGTACTAAAATAATGCAATAAACATTAATTCAACATTAGATGTAACTTAAAACCATAACGTACATAACTGATAAAACTAAGAAGAAACAGTGAATTCAATAAAAACATGAAAATGTGAGCTGGTACACAAATGTTCTTTTTCACTTCTCAAAACAGTATTTTACTGTAAAATTATATGAAACATCTCATTAGATCTGTTAAAATTTTTCACTCATATAATAAGTAAATATGACATTAACCAGTTTTGGCAGTTAGCAGCATTTTTACACTCTTTTACTGTAATTACTTTTAAAATATTATTATTATTTATTTTTATTTTTTTATTTTTTTTTGGAGCTGATAGCCTTGTAGGATAATTTTATTTAGGCTGTAATTTGATGCAACTGAATTGGCTTCCCTGTTTTAAGTGTGTGTTTTTCTGCACATGTACAGATGACAGAGCAAAGGAAGAATAAACAGAGACTGGGCTTCCTGGGACCATCACAGATGAACCATCAAGTCCCCCCTGCACACTGAGGACGACTCATCGCACTTCTCCACACACACTCACACACAGATGCTGATGTTCACACCATGAACAACACTACACTCATGGTGATACCACACTTTACATCATGACATGACAGTTGTCCAGTTAGATCCTACAGTCTTGAGCGTCGTTTTGTTAGTGTTTTCTCGTTTAGATCTTATAGACGGAGGACGTTTGGAAATATACAGAGTGTGTTTGTTTGGAAAATCATGAACCCTGTGCGTATGAGGGCTCACATCAGATGACTCAAACAGTCTTTGGAAGGGCTGTCTGAATTTTTTTTTTTTTTAAGCGTCAAGTATTAACTCCCTCACATTTTAATTGTCCTGTCCATAACTGGAGTATTGCTGTAATTCAATGTGGGCTTTAGTCTGTGCTGGAATAACTGGAAAGATAAAGTGCCTTCAAACTATTTAATAGTTTTTTATTATTCAAATTCACAATTACTTTAATGAAAGATATAAGACTTGGAAATATTATCATCTCATAATCAGACAATCATGTGACTGTTGGAATCTGTTTGTCACCTTCTACAAAGACCTAAACGCTAGTCTTAACTCTTAAATGATGATCATTTTTATTGTGTATTTTATGTTGGAGATGTGTCTAGCATATTTGTGTTTGCCTTATATAAAGTTGTACAGAAAATAATAAAGAATTTATATTTGGTATTACAATGGTTACTGTGACTCCCTATTCTTTAAACCATTTAGAAACTCTAAGGTTAAGAGGGTTAAATTATGTGAAACAATAGAAGCAATCCTTTATGGGATATTTAGACATCTATGCAAGGATTGAGAATATCTGAAGATAAGATCATATTGTAAATGATGAATATGCATGTGTTGTGCACTGATTGCTGATACGAGACACCTGTTATCAGATCTGTGTACAGAGTTCAGATTGACACACAAGCAGTGGATCTCAAATGCTATTTTAATGGTCATGGCAACTTGACACTGTACTAGAACAGTTAAGCACACGGAGTTAACAAAAAGCATTTAAATCACTCATCCAGCATTATAATGTAATGTTGATTGAAATATCAGCTTTTCATTTTCACAAGATATTGATGGACTGAAGTCATGTGGATTATTGTGATGTTTTTATCAGCTGTTTGGACTCTCATACTGACGGCACCCATTCACTGCAGAGGATCCTTTGGTCAACAAGTGATGTAATGCTACATTTTTCCAAATCTGTTCTGATGAAGAAACAAACTCATCTGCACTTCGAATGGCCTGAGGGTACGTGAATTTTCAGCAAATTTTATTTTGGGTGAACTGTCTCAACCTATAATACTCTGGTGGTTTTTGGGTACAGGATTCTGCCTAGTTAGAGTGTAAAGACTCACGTCTGCTCGTGCCTTCACTCTGGCACGAGTTAAAATTAGCCCTTGACGGCTCCATTATAGCCCACAGCTGTCACTAAATAGGGGAAAGTCCAGCATGTCTGGAATGCTCCATCAGGGAGAAGAAGACGGACTGGCCATCAAGAGCACCGGGAGAATTCCCGTGGCCTGGCGGCTGATTTGGCCCACTGCCCTGTTTTTTTGTTTGTTTGTTTTTTAGTTATTATTATTAATATTTTATATTTATGCCTTCTCAATGTACCAAAGCGATCATTTCCGATTTGTTCATTCGATAATAAATCGATAATAACTTGACTGGAAGCGCTGCGCTTCCCGAGTTCGAGTCCCAGCCAGGGTTGCCAGGTTTTTACAACAAAACCTGCCCAAATGCTACTCAAATCTAGCCCAAAACTAGCCCAATCGCGTTTCGAGGGAGATCAGTAAAAATCGCGTTCCCGAGGGTAAAATACACGTTTTTAGGTGGGGTTCCCCAGGTAAAATTCGCATTTTAGGGGCTAAATATCACGTTATTGGGGTCGCTTAAACCTCGGCCATGAAAAACAACCCCCGGAAAAAGTAGCATAATTCCGCGGACTTGGCAACACTGTGGACCTTTTCCGATCCCATCCCACTTTCTGCCTCCGTCCCTTCATGTCATCGAACTGCCCTATTGCAAAAAATGCCAAAAATAAATATTTAATATTTAACATATTTGAATTGGTTTTAATGATGATAAGATTTGATCCCTCCTTACGCATAGTCTTTCTCACAGTTCAGTCATGCAGGTGTGCAGTTATTAACAGTTATAAGACAGTGAACAACATCCTACATAAACACACTCATTCATCTAAATGTACCACACTCCCTTCCTTCCTTCTGCATTTGATGGGTCTGCATGTGATTGTGCGTGTTGTTGTCATGCTGCTTGGTCGGAGAGCAGATGAGATCTGTCACATGAGCTGAGAGATCGCCCCTGCTGCACTCTTTCCTAAAAGCACTGCAAATCAAGGGGGATTTTTAATTTGACTCAGCGTTCCTGCTTAATTTAAGAGTGTACAGAGTGACTCGCTGAAGGTCTGCTGCAGAGACGGAGGAGATCTGCAAAAAATATGGTTCTGTTACGGGAATAGTTCACCCAAAAAAATTAAATTATGCCATTTATGCATCCTGATGTCATTCCAAACCCCTTTGACATTATTCTGTGGAATGCAAAAGATGTTTATCAAAATGTTCACGCTGCTCTTTTCCATACAGTGAAAGAAAATGGTGACCATATATGTCAAGTTAAAAAAATAAAAAAGAAAGACAAAACCAAGTTTTATGATATTTTGTTTCCTGTTTTGGGCTTCAGCCCATGGTCACTATTCACATTACAGAATCACAAACACTACTGTTAATTTTTATTATTTTAATTTTTTTTTTTTTGAAAGAAATTAATACTTTTATTCAGCAATGATGCATTAAATTGATCAAAAGTGACTGTAAAGACTTGATAATATTTCAAAATATTTCTATTTCAAATAAAAGCTGTTCTTCTGAACATTTTATTCATCAAAGAATTCTGAAAAAGTATCATGCTTAGTGCAACATTTTTAACACTGATAATAATAAGAAATGTTTCTGGGCGACCAAAATGGTTTCTGAAGAATCATGTGACACTGAAGACTGGAGTAATGGCTGCTGAACATTCAGCTTTGCCTTTAGAGGAATAAACTACATTTTAAAACATATAGAGAACCGTTATTTAAAATTGTATTAATACTGTTTTTACTGTGTTTTTGATAAATCCAAACTTTTGAATGGTACTGTACATTATTATTCACATACAGTAAACTATAAAAATGAACAAACCTTATTATTATTATTTTTTAATTAAAAAAAAATTGAATATATTATAAAATTATTATTAGTATATTATAATTATTATTATTATTAGATTACATTCACATCATTGTGGATCCAAAGATGGCATATTTCTGTTTGCTTAACAACATGAGAGAAACAAATATTAATTGAAATTCAATTAATAATTTTTAAAGGACATGCAATTGAATGATGAAGGAGAGAGGGTTATGTAAATGCCTTTTATTAGAAATCAGCTCAAAGGAAAGATGAGTCATACAAAGCTTACATTTATGGGGTTTTTTTTTCTGTGCTGAAGCATCATGTTGCATCTCTTCCAAACACCAGACTGAAGGTCTCTTTAAAGCAACAGACTCTTTTAACACCTCAGGCAGCTCTCTTCCTGTTGGCAGTGTTCTTTTAATTTGGTTTACAAGCTTCATTGACAATGACTTAATGATAACAAACAGAGCTTTTTGGTTTGATTGTCAGGCTTTACATTTGCTCATTTTTCACCTCGCCACAAATTTCAAATATGCAATAGACCTATATGTAAAATAAAAAAAGGTTAAAGGCCATTGCATGAATCTGGAGGCAGTGACCTGCTGTTTGTCAAAGTACCCCTTTGAATCCCCCCAATCCCTGACTGACTGCTGTTCACTAGCTGTGTATGAACTGTGACTTCAGTCCACAAGCCTGTCCAGCCTCGTCACTGCACACACCTACTATTTCTGACTGCTGTGTACAGAGTGCTTTTGTTTTTTAAGTGCTCTAGACAGTTCTTCAGATAAAGCAGTACTGTATTCAATTAACTGATATGTTATATTTTAGAAATCATGTTTCATCTAAGAAATGTTAAAGAGTGTTGCTTCTGTGTGTATTCTCATGAGTGTTTAATATGGCTTATTAATAGACTAGAAGTTATAAATAAAATCAGATTTGTAAGTCTAACAGTTAGAAACCAGTATTTTACTTTATTTTACTATAATATTTTAATTTCTTAAAATTATGCATATATATGCATTCAACGATATATATTCTTTCACATAATAAAAAATGCAAATATGAAATCTAATTTAATACATGATATATTGCATAATTTTAAAATATTTTAATAATCCCAACAGTAATTGAACAACCAGGGATTTTGTCTCAGAAATGATGAATGCACCTGAAGTTAGAAAAAAAGGTAAATTTGTGAATAATTGCATTTTAAGGTGTTTTGGGTTTTTTGACTAAGCAAAATTTAATGCTGGCAATTAAAGGAAATTTAGGCATGCCATTGCCACAACAGATTGTGTCGCTCATTTTCCTAAAATGTCAGGCCTCGTTTTGTGTCACTTACTGGTTTTATAGATAAAAATACTCTCCTCGACAAGCGGAAATTTTCATGTAGAAAAATACAATAACGCTAAAGGTTGCATAAAACTTTCCAAAATATTATAATATGGCAATACAAACGCAGACTCATTCAGCTGCTTTGATAAAAGCTCACATGGCATAAAATATTGCAGCAAACAGTTTCTTCCCTAAAGGCACAAACACTCCCACGCTCCACACGTTTACTTCTCCAGAGAAATCTCTCAGTGCCTAAACTTTCTGCCAATTCTGGGCAGAAGGAGATCCCGTCTGTAGCCCAGCGAAAAACACCTGGTACCTGTGCTTCCATAAGAGGAAGGCCCCCACCAGGCAGACGATAGCCTGAGCCAGGTTCAGCACCATCTGCAGAAGGTAATACATGGGTAGAGTGCTTACGATGGCACTGCAGTCTGTCACACCGCTGTAGGAGAAAGTGCGGGCGATGGGATCCTCAGGGTCCAGGGTGCACATACAATGCTCCCCCATTTCCTTGCAGCTGTAGCTGTTAGTCAGGGCGTAATGGTAGCACTGGAAGGCGATGACCACTGCGGAAATGACCAGCCCCATCGTGCACAGGAAGAAGTACAGGAGCTGGGCAGAAGTGAGAGAGCGCTTACAGTCATTTGTGATGATTAAGGCAAGGTGCTGGAAATCAGATTTAAATAGACTAAAAGGCCTATTCTTGTTCATTTAAAACCAGCTCAGTGTTCTGACTTGATGACTCAGGAATGTTACTGCCAATGTCAATTGGCCATTAAATATTAAAAATATGCCTAATTACAGAAACAGATGACCTGAACATTTAGATTTTGTCATTAGCACACTCACACCATACAGACCTAGTATTACTTTCTTTATGTGAAACACAAAAGGAGATATAGCCAGAACCCTGAACATTCACCATACAATAACAATGATAGTGATTTTAAACGTAAAGCGTAAAAAAAGAGAGTTTTTGTGAATGTGCAATGAAGTGCCGCAACTGACAATGTGAGTCACATGACAATGACAAAATGACAAATGAAGTATGTCCGGATTTTCATTTATATTCAAGACATTCATGCTCATTCATATAGAGCTTCTTTTTTTAACGCTCACAAAGTAACTACTTTCACCTACTCAGAGAGCATGCGATTTCGTACACAGCCATACTTAAATTAAACCGTCCCAATTAGCCTTTTTTTTTCCGATTCAAGTCATGATTCATCTTAAGTTGTAAACATGTGTCCAGAAAATTTTATTTTGGAATACACTGTAAATCAACATAAAATCAAATCCCCTTTTCACTCTTATCAGATCATTCGTTCCCTGATAGCACATCTCAGAGACATCTATTTGATGTGTTTGCTCATCTGCAATACGTTTCCTGTCAGACGTTAAACAGACATTTAGAAAATGCCTTTAAGACGTTTATGATTTAAAATGTACGAAAAACTGAAATTTTAAATGCATTTATCAGATGTTTGTACACAGCAGATGCTTTCCAGATGAAGCGCTCTTTAACAGACATCTTGCAAATAATAAAAATAAGTTAGACCAGTTGTGTGAACCGCTTCAACTGATTCATTGAAAACAACTGACTCAAAAGAACATCGCTAATTCATTCAGAAGACTTGGAATATTGATTTATGAGTAATATGCGCTACTTTTATTATATGATGCTTTTTGGAGATTTAAATCACCTTCCACTTTTGATGAATGGAAAAAAGAGCTGCATGGACATTCATATCCTTGTGTGTATCACATATATAATAACAGTGGGTTGGAATGACATGGACTGAGTAAATGATCATTAGGCTATATGGTGACATAATTTTAATTTCTGGATGAATCATTCCTTTAAAATGCAAGAGAATTGCCCGCTGCTAGATACCTACTACATTTTTATCATAGAATCCCCTGCTCTCCGAGCTAAGTTGCACCTCTACATGTTTTAAAGTCCATTTGAAAAGCATTTACAGATGAGGTGCAAATGTAAATCTCAGTTCATCCAAAAAATGCATTCATTTTTTTACCTTTACAATAAATTGAGCCGACGCTCTCTCATCAGGCAGAAGAGGATGAATCCCAGCAGAGACACCACAATCATCTGCAAAACACAACATAGAGTATTTTTATAGAGTGCTGCAGAGATGACACTTTTTGTAGGCCAACCCAGAAATTAGCATCACCCTGATTCCCTTGACAAAAAACCCAATAGGATTTGTGCACTGGCTTTTGGATTATTGCAGAAAATGAGCTCTGTGACAAACAAACGTTTATGATTCTCACACATTTTGTTCATCAGGATAACCTTCACAAATGAACACAACATGTGAAGCTGAAAAACAATCGCAAGAAGTAAAAAGCCAAATACTGGCTATAAACGAAACTGCAATCACCACAATCATGACTTTATGTCACCATCTCTAAACTTTGGACAACTCTTTCAGTCTTTATTTAGAAAGCATACTCTTTGAAGAGTTAGCAACTGCCTTTTTCAGAAATTAAAGCTTTAAATGGGTCCTATTATGCTTTTTCACTTTTGCAACTTTAGTTAGTCTGTAATGTTGCTGTTTGAACATAAAAAAGATCTGCAAAGTTACAAAGCTCAAAGTCCAATTCAAAAGGAGATATATTATTGAACAGAAATCACTTTTCAAAAACTACAAAGAACGACTCGTTTGGACTACAACGCATATTTTCCGGGATTTGTGATATCACACGAATGGGACGAGACCTGGTTGAGCTGCACTAGAGAAGGCAACGAGTGTTATCACTATGTCGGAGACACGCTAGCTTTCCCAAGGCAGACGAACTTAAAGTGGTTACAATCATCCGGGTTTAAATCGCGCTCAAATTGATTTGATTTTGACGCAATATTTACACTGAAGCTCGCAGGCGGCTATGGTAAGGGGCGTGACATTTCCCGACCAGGCGCCGAGTGCTGCCAATCACAACACACACTGCCCCAGCTAACCAATCACAGCACATTTCGTATTTCAGAAGGTGGGCCTTTATTTGATACAGGGACTATTCGAGACGTTCATGCCAGACTGGGGAGAGAGGTGTTGTAATAATGTAAAATATGCTTGTTTGAGCTGGTACTTGGTTATAAGCTGGTTATGAGCTGGTTGAGGTTGGTCATGTGCTGGTTTAAGCTGGTCCTTAGTTGGTCATGAGCTGGTTTAAGCTGGTCCTGAGCAGGAGCTAGTTGCTTAACCATCTTAGCAGTAGCACATGGCCAGCTTAAACCAGCTCATAACCAACTAAGTACCAACTTAAACCAGCTGCCATGCTTCAAAACATACCAGCATGTGCTGTTTTTTTTCAATAGACACAGACCTTATTTCAGGCATTTAACTAAAAAAAAAACATTTAAAAAAAAAACTTTAACTTCAGGATGATGGAACCAGAAGTGCTAAAATGCTAACTTTAAAGTTCTGGCCAACAAAATACGGTGTCCCTGCAGCAATCTATAGGCCTGTTATCTTTTACACCCTAAATGTACAATATATAAACTAATCATACATGCTAATCAAGTTTTAATCGGCCATTTGGAGGGTGATCACCATGATCATGTGCATCTCAGAGTCTGTTGTTGCAAAATGTTGCCATTGTTGTCATGAACACATACCAGTGTACTGGGTTGCTCTAATCTCATTTGCAGTGCAGCAGACCTCCTAAATTCTCTGCATCTGCCAGGCTTGTTATGAGCCAACCATAACCCTTATTGTAATCAGCATTGTGCAACTCAGCATTGAGTTGTCATTTGATAATATATTGACTGCCGTTGCAAATTGAATAGCTTGACCCCCCACCCTCCAAGATATCTTTATCTTTCACGCTTTTTATCTCACTCTTTTCTTCTTTGTCTCTCTCTGTGTTTTCCCCGCTCTTTTTCTCAGCATGATTGGAGTCTTGTGACTAACGTGTGGTATCTAATTTGATTGTTTTTCCCAGGATCTGAGGCAGAGAAGTTTGGTGACCTCAGAGTTTTTCTCCAGGAACAGCAGCTCTGGTCTCGTGAGGCCTGAACTTGAGATACCAGAGCACACAGCGATGTTCTACCTTAACGCTCAGATATGTGCATCCATGAATTTAAATGTGTATCTAACATAGCAATCTCATAAAACTTTGTTTTATTGCCACAATAGCTAATGTATTACACAATGAAACAGTTCTATATTGGGTTTGTGTGGCATTTAGAATTGAACCGAGACTACGTTTCGTGTTTTGTTGAATGGAGGTAGCAAACAGGATTCAAAATTGCAATCTGAATTAAAAATGTAAAGAAATTCAAATGTAATTTTTAAAAAGAAAGCCAATTTCGTAACACTTAAAAAAAAAAAAAGGTTATATTGTTTACATTATTTTACTACCATAAACTAACAACGAAAAATACTTCTGAAGCATTATTGTTAATTTCAACAAATTGTTTTTTTTCATATTTTTAACATTTTTAATTCTGTTCTGTTAATATTATTTAATGGAGCTGAGCTAGTAACAAAAAACAGGTGTATTTTTATTAACTAACTTTAGCAAAGAATATTAAATACTGTACCATATGCATTGCTCATTGCTCAATATTAATTTATGCATAAACTAACATTAACAAATGGGACCTTACTGTAAAGTGTTACTGCAAAGGTTTGTCGAGACAAACCCTGAATGTTTGCTTGACACAGTCTTGTTCAAAGGTTTTGAACAAGTTATTACATAGATAAAAATACTGTATTATCTATAATCGGACAAGAATGTTGAGCAATGTTATACAAAGATTCTCTTTTTCACTTTATCAGCTTGTGTTATTTTAATTAGCACAGTTTTTTTTTTGTAAGTGATTGACCATAAGCCTCATTGATCTGAGCTTCTGCATGATTATGTTTTGAAACCAAAAAAACATTATTTGTTGAAATGTAGGCAATGTTCACTGAAAAGCTGAGGTGCATATTAAGTTCAAATGAATGAGGCCTATGACCAATCAGTTCCAAATAGAAATATAAACCTGTACAAATTGAGAGAGAGAGAAAAGATTGAATCCCAGATTTGGTGATAATATCGCATAATGAGAGACTCACAAGCAGTTTGTAAAAGACCAGTTATTTTTTGGCTGGCAATGCCAATTTAGGATTAACTAGTGTTAAGTATATTGTAATTTCTGTAAGTACATAGAGAAAAAAAACAGATGCATGCAATGTTATCCTCCTGCATGTTTCAGCCCTGTTTTGTTGTCATACGGCTTGGCTACGTGACTGGACATGCATGTCTGCACGGAGGGATGGCTTTGAATCTTTTGAAGATTTGTTTTCTATTTATAAAGGTACAGTTTGATCTAACTCTCCAGTGATTCTCAAACAAACATACAGCTGTAGCATTTTTAGTAGTATTTTTATCTAAGGAACCTGTGTTGTTTTTAAACTTTAAATCTATTTTTCGTTACAGGCTTCTGCAACTGGATACTTTGCACGAATACTTCAAAGTCACAGCTGAACAAGCAGAATCCACTGTGATTAGCATATGAGCTTGTATGTTTTTTTTTTCCAGATTTGCAACATGACAGCCTCAGTGATGATTCTCATAACAGCTTTAAAACTCATGAGTCTCTTTATAAATGTATTCATTGTTCTCACTAATATGTTATTTTTGGACATGCATGCATGCTCTCTGTAACATTGTTTATGTATGCTTATGTACAGTATGGCAGTGTGGCCAATGGATCTGATATGAGACGGCCTCGTGCATGGCCCCAAAAGAGTAAACAAGGCATGCTGGGAGTTGAGGGAGAAGCAAAAGGAAGCTTACAATGATGCCGGCCCAGTGGGGCGTCTCCCTGGCCAGCAGAGAGGAGCTAATGGCAACCATGAGGAAAGCCACAGCAGCTACTGCGACGCCCAGCAAAAGCTGTAACAGAGCGACCAGCGAAGGAAAGCGGCAGCCACAACATTTTTGGGCTTCCTCCGGCACTGGGCCTCCAGTTTCTGCTTGTCCCTTCTTCTCCTTGCCAGCGTTTGCGTTGCCTCCTCCAGCCGACCCCATAATTCCTCCCGTCTCGTGCTGAGATTCTTAATCTTCCTTTGAGGCCGACTGGACGTTCTTGCACTCGCCCTCTGTCTGTTTGTCCTTCCTTTTCTTTCTCGCCTGGTGTTTCTTTTGCTCTCTTAACTGGACTGTTCCCTTGCCCTGCCCTTCCCCTCCCTCCTCACTGGAGGCTTTGCTCCCTACGCGATCCCTGCTATTCGGAATCAGAAAAGACTCTGAACTAATATGGAAAACATTTGGAGCAGATTCCACAAGAGCCACATATAGAGCACAGAAGAGGAGACGGAAAGGAGGGAGGGTTGGAAAGGGGAGGGAAGACAGAAAGGGGGACTCCAACACACGACAGCTACTAGTTTCCCTGAAAACTAAACAGGAAACAATTCTTGTCTCTGGCAAACACGTGGGCGAGTGCTCGAGTCCTGCCAACCTCCTGCAACACACTGTGTAATCTATTCATAACCGCCTGGAGTCAGTCACATGATTTTGATGAAGTTACGTGACCCGTGGGCATGCGAGCGGGTTACAGTTAATCTCTTATGAATATTGAGAGAGTGCAGATATGCTACGTGTTCATTTCATTTTGTGTTAATTATGGAGAGTCATTAACTACATGCAGGGCATGTTTCTTATAATGAATATGTCTGTATTCACCTAGACCTTTTGTAAAACTCGATTCATATTTCTTTATATGCTGGAAAAACTCTGATTTATAATCTTATAATGGTTTCATCTGCTAAAGCCTTCTGAAGGTTGGATATTGATGGAATGTGGTCTATTTTTAGCCAGACTATATTGAGAGCTTATTCTATGTGCTTTTGTGTTGTCACACCTTGTTTCAGATGGCATGTATAGGCAAAGCAATCTCAGTACATTTAGATGTTAGTTCAAGCTAAACATGCTGCACAGAAATGTTCACATTATAATGCTGCAAATAAATTTGTCATAAAATATTTATCACAAATATTTTCTTTATTATACGTAAAAAAACTGATACAGTTAATTTCTGTTACAATATAGCAGGCAAACTTTTTGCAGATCTTTACAAATATGTAGCCCATTTAAAAATATATTGAGGAAATGTGAACTCTTTGCAGGTACAATCAAATAATCATAGAGATTACTAATAAAATATGATTTCATCTAGTAATAAAATATTAATAAAATAATAATAATAATTTATAATATTAATATTAATAACACATTGACATGACATAAGTTTTCCCCAAAATATATGAATTACTAGCCTAGATATATAGTAAACAAACATTTAGGGATGTCCTAAATTGGAAAGAAAATAAAATATAAAATAATGTTTTTATTTATTATGCCAAAAAGTTGGCTATAGACTAATAATTCTAACTGGTTTTATGTAAAAGCAATAAATGTCTAAGACATATCCTCATTTAGATTAAATACTTGTAAATTATATAATAAGTAGGCTATCCTGGTATTTCAGATTTAGATGTGTACACTCTAAAAAATGCTGGGTTGTTTCAACCCAATGTTGGGTCAAATATGGACTAACCCAACTGTTGGGTTAAATTTTGGTTACATTTTTAAATTAACTTTTTAACCCAACAGTTGGGTTAGTCCATATTTGACCCAACATTGGGTTGAAACAACCCAGCATTTTTTAGAGTGTAGGCTAGATGTTATCCTCGAGAGCTCAAAAACAATTATTTTAACGCGTCTGAGCGATATGCTGTGGTTTTATTTTTCAGCGTCTCTTCAGCAATAAACTGACAACTTTCAAGCACATTTAATTCCCAGACTCTAGAGCTGCTGCAGTTTACACGTGAGTCAGCGCGCATGCGCAGTAGTCGCCACGCGCAGAGTGAGTGCGCGAGAGTGTAAACTCAGGCGAGCGCACACACATCATCATTCAGAGGTGCTGCGCGAGACCAGACACAACGCACTGCCGCTCCGCTGATACTGGATTAACAAACCTGATTGTAAAAGAAGCACACAAGAAAGTGGGACAAAGTTATGGATGAAAGAATACCGAGAATGCAGGGCAGACAGTTCCTGGATCACGCGGATTTCTTGGGGTATTTTTTTATGTTTGGTTGTTTTTTGTTTTGTTTTTAATAAACGCAACTAATGTTACGTTTTTTTAAAATGTGTGAGGTTGATGACGAAATGAATAGATTTGCATTTTCTTTTTTTAGGGTTGAATATTCGTCTCTCTACATGTGCAAATCCAAAAGAGGGGTGAAGAGAGAGGAAGGAAAGGTAAGCAAACTGGACCCGTGATGGAAACGTGATGTCCGTCAAATTCACGTAACACTTTGTGTCGCTAGTCCTTAATAATCCGTGTGATAATTATTACTTTAAGAACTTTTTGCAGTGGCTAATACTTTTTATTCGCAGGACGCGTATAAGTTACCACACAGACTGATTGAGAAAAAGAGGAGGGACCGAATAAATGAATGTATTGGGCAGCTGAAAGATTTATTACCGGAACATCTGAAACTTGCGGTAATTTAAGTCAACAGAATTTTGTTTGGTCTTGTTAAAATGTTTGGTAATTTGAAACCCGCATAAGGAAAGCAAGAAAGTAGGGAAATCCGATAAATGTTCGTATTGTCTTACAGACTCTAGGTCACTTGGAAAAAGCTGTAGTTCTTGAGTTGACGCTGAAGCATTTGAACGCTTTGACAGCTGTCACAGAGCAACAGCACCAGAAGATCATCGCTTTGCAGAACGGTAAATTACAGAATGTGCAACCCACACAATGCAATCAGAGAAACATCAATGCCACATCAAGTAAAACAGTAAATGGAGCTTAAAGTACAGCAATTTAACTAAAATAGCTGCTCAAAGCTGCAATTATGTATATACTTTTTTATGTCAATTATGCTTACCTATGTTAAGTGTTTTTATTGACCACTTTTTTTGTTGCATGTATTAATATATTTATATCTGTCTAGATTTATTATTAATATCTATCTATCTATCTATCTATCTATCTATCATGGTTTTATTTATTTTTTATATTTATTTTCTATATATTCCTGTCTAAAAAAATCTACACCATATGCTGATTATATTTATTTTAATAATCTATCTATCTATCTATCTATCTATCTATCTATCTGTCTATCTATTCATCTATCATGGTTTTATTGATTTTTTATATTTATTTTCTATATATTCCTGTCTAAAAAAATCTACACCGTATATATGTTGATTATGTTTATTTTTAATATCTATCTATCTATCTATCTATCTTGGTTTTATTTATTTTTTATATTTATCTTCTATGTATTCCTGTCTAAAAAAATCTACACCATATGTTGATTATATTTATTTTAATAATCTATCTATCTATCTATCTATCTATCTATCTATCTATCAGTCTGTATGTCTGTATTTCTGTCTGTCTGTCTGTCATTTTTCAGTTTTTTTTTTATGACAGGAGATTTGTCTCTCTTTTATGACAGGGGAGCGGTCGTTGAAGTCCTCCCTCCAGGCTGACTTAGACGCGTTTCACTCAGGCTTTCAAGCATGTGCCAAAGAAGTCCTGCAGTATCTGAACAAGGTGGAGAACTGGACGGCGCGCGAGCAGATGTGCACGCGACTCATCAACCACTTACACAAAGTTTCCGCGCAGTTTCAGCCCAGCGCAGGGAGCCTGCAGCGGCCGTTGCCAGGCGACGACGCTCCAGATCGGGACGTGCAGAGAGATACTCAAGCCAACTGTGTCCCTGTCATCCAGAGGACTCAGAACCTCGAGTTTAATGAGAACGACACGGACACCGACAGCGGATACGGAGGAGAGGCAGAGAAAGGCGATGGCAAATGCGAGAAAGGATGTGACATGGCCAAAAGAGTTAAGATCAAGCAGGAGTTCGGAGATGAACGTGTCACCAAAAAAGCCAAAATGAACTGGTCCGTGAACGGTGCGTCAGATTCCACCAATACCCGGCCGGACGTGGCGTTAATGAACTCTTTAATGGGAATGGCTGGTGTTGGTGGACAACAGACTCCCTTTTGCATGCCGTTTTACTTCATAAACCCGTCTGCAGCAGCATCGTACATGCCTTTGTTTGATAAAAGTCATTTGGAGAAGTTGGTGTATCCAGCAGCAGCAGCAGCGGCGCTGACCAACCCATTCCCGTGGCTTTACCCCGGGATTCCCACGCACGCCTCTGCTGCAGCCGCGGCCGCCGCTGCCATCGCTTTCCCCAATGCGCCCGCCGATAAAACCTCTGGATTTAATGCAGCATCCTTAAAAGACGACGAGCCGCCGTCTCCCGATGGTGACCTGTCTAACGAGGCCGACCTGGCCTCTCCTGTGTCTGGGGATCATCATGGCTCAGAGAATCATGCCATTCATCAGCCCCAAAGAAATGAAAATTATGGTACATAAAGCTGACCTTATGTCCTTTGAGTGCACACTAGTTTGCTTGTAAAATTGCTATTTATCTGTTTATCTTAATTTAATTGTCATTGAGTATTTACTATAGTGTTTCTATGGATTTCCAAGCAAAGGCTGTTCATTTATTTATTAATTTTTTTTTAGCATTATTATTATGAAGACTCAAAATTTCAAAACAAATTGGTTTATCTTTTTTAGGGGAGAATGGGGGACATTGTAACAGCCAGTGCCTTTTGCACTGATTCCTTGAGTCAATTGTCAAGGAATTGTCAATATTCCTTGACAATTGACAGCAACCTTTATGTCTCGCCATTCAATGGCGTATTAGTATTGACCGAAAATGTGTGAAATCTCAGACTTTGTTCTGGGTTTTTTTCGTTGTTGTAGTTGTCTTTTTTCATTTTTGATGAAGAATCTTAATTTAGCACAGTACATATTAACCTTCTTTAAGCTAGTGCTTATCCTAGCGTAAAGTTCCTTTCAAATATATGGAAGTCACATATTGGACTCTTGGATGTAATGTTTGATATTGACCTCAAGCAGGCTGGTGTGACTGCTGCTGTATTTGTCAGATATATAACTTTCTATTATAGCACGACTGGATTTCGGTTGTATTTTGCTCTTTTCAAAGTTCAGTGCTTGAAAGAGTTACCTACATACCTCAACATACCATAGCGTTTGGGCCAGGACTCATTTCTTAGAGATGCTCCTCTGGTAGGGGTGGTGACGAAATGTTTCAAGCGATTTTAATTGGACAAATGGTGTAAGCGACAACCCTCTGATGTAATGTTACAGCAGTCCCCGTCTCTCTCTCTCCCTCTCTCTCTCTCCCTCTCCCGAACAATTAGTCTGAATCTCTTGTGAAGGAAATCAACACTCCAGATCAGAATGGCAGGACCAATCACCTGTCAATCATCACTGAGAGTGCTTTGCCAACAATCTGACATCATTGTCCTGTGTCACCTCTAGCAAAAATGTACAAGGTATAATAGCACCTTATGGAACTTTGATATTGAATGTAATCTGTGTTCTTTTGGTAGATATAAAAGTTTGTACTGTATATATTCTGATAAAAGTAGTTATTTAATCCAGAGGTAAAGTGCA